CCTTTTCATCTGCTAGTAATCTTAGTGTTGGAAAAAACACTATGTCACTGTTTATTACTGAGCCCCCCTGTTAGAGTCAAATGCTTTGGTATTGTTCAGCTATATATGAACTTCTGTCTAGCAAGGTTATTTTCTTTGCAAAGCATAGCTGAAAGCCCATTCAACACAGTGATCACCAGCTCCATCAGACCTAATAGGTGTTTAAGATTTTTCTTTAGTCACAAACTAAACACAGGCTTGACGTTTTACCTGCATGTTTCAATACTAAATCGAAGTGTAACACTAATTGATTCCTCACAGCTTAATGCCACATAACCTTGAGCACAAACTGATTCCTCTGAAAATGGAGCATCTCCCCTTCTTCTGGCAGAGATCTTTCCTCAGGAGAAAGTCAGATGTTGCCTACCGACTTTTAGTGGCTGATCAAAAGCTCTGAAAAGGCAATAAATGACTTTTATGGGTTTCCCTAAAGAGATGATCAGCTGGATTTAGTTTCTGATAAAGAAGAGGCAGAATGAACTGTTTCCTATTCCTTCTGGGACACCAGGAGCCTGATGTACAAAATGAATTAGAAAGGTACTCCCATGTGTGGAGCGCCTGACTGTCAAATGAAACTCTATCACACCCTGCTATCCAGTACAGTTCTTCAAAACAGAAGAAATATTGCAAGAGTGGGATTGATTTAGGTCATCAGAAGTGGATGTAAGAATGGAGTTTGACACATCCTATGAACATGTATTGGTGCTCCTTTCCTTGGTAGAACTTTTGTCTGAAGTGTAAACAACATGTGATTTCAGTAATTGTCCAACATCAGCAGATGTTGTTCAGTGAAACAAATATGTCTTGGAAATGGAGATACTTTAAGAGAAAGAAAATCTTATTTTGTGTCTTTCCTTCTCTTTGAACATTTAAAAAAAAAGGACTGATTTTTATACCTGGGTTTTTTTGCTTGTCTTCCCTGTTCAGTATTTTCTTGCAGTGCTTTGAATGAAAACTTCAGGGTATCCTGAAGAGTACTTTGAAGGCTTTGTCCATTGGTGGTTGTTGATATGGGGGTACTGATCATTTAGTAAACAGATTTTGTTCCTGTTAGCTTTCCAAACATCGGAATGAAGTAAATATTTACTAAAGCTAACATAGTGCAGTAGCTTTTATATCATGTGGGTGGAAGGGTGAATGCAGGGAATGGAATGAGTAAGCAGAGGACCACTTTATACCTGGAAGAGCTGATTTTTGTTCAGTGGAGATGTACTACGGCTTCACTCTGAGCTCATTCCTACGCACCTCACATGGAAATTATGTTAAAATAGGCTTAACTCACCATTCTAAAATATATTTCAGGCCTTCCTTCTAAATTACAGAATATTATTTTGTAAATGGAACAGAAATCCTCTGACCACTTGTCAACTTTTTTCCACTTCAGTGATGGTGTTAAGTCTGTTTACATCAGAGACTGAAAATATCTCTTCTAATGAAACTGAACATGGTCTATCCTCCTTCAGAAATAGTCACCTCCCTCCCACCTTGTTTACCTCACTGCTGAGCTTCCCACTCCTCCCTTGCTTCAGCTTAGATAGCTGTCCTCCATAGTTGTAAGGGAATGGTTATTTTACTCTATATTTGCTTTTTTTTTGTGAGCACAGAGCTATTCTAAATGCCATATCAGGGTTGTTCCTCCCTTGCTCTATTCTTTCCATTGGTGCTAGGTGTGAGGAAGCATCCTAGCTGTTTAATCAAGGATGGCTTCCAAGCTGCTCTTTGCATTTTTAGTCTGTCAGCTTCTAATTCTGGGCTAAATCTCATACCAGAAACCTAAGTGATATATTGTCATTTTTGAGGAAAACAATTGTCATTGCAGAACTGTATGACTCACAATAGAAAGTATTGACTGTATATAGAAAACTAATTCTTAGAAGTAGACATAGAGATGCAAAACTGACAGCACATATATAGTTATATGCTCACAAATTAATACAAGTTTTTTTTAAAAAAAGTCAAAAACCCAACAGGACTATACAGTCTACTTCTGCTGTGAAACAGCTTCAGGTAGTGATCTTCTGCTAAAGCATGGCCACTGTGTGACAAAATAGGGGAGAAAATGCTTTCTTGGCCAGGCAAAAAGCAAGTTTTGACCTTTTTTTTTAACAATGAAACACTTTCCAAACATAGATGAGATAATGCGAAGTCCCACAAAAATTATAGACAATGGTATGACCTGGCAGTCTGGGTCAAGTTAAATCCAGATTAGTCAAGCAATCCAGGACAGACTAAGTGGGGAAATCAATTTACATACTGTCATGTTGGATTAATTGTCAAAAATGGTTATGAAATTCCTAAGCTAAATCTTCGTGAAGGTTGAGGAAACCTATCTAACTTACTGTTTCATTCTGGTATATTATATAAATGTGAGCTCAAAATAGGTTAATTATAATAACAATTAATCACAATCACTCAGTGGAACTATACTGAATTTCCATGTCCAGGTTTTTACAGTTGGGAGGTTGCAGGTGTGGCCTCTTGGAGAAGAGGCCTGGGACTGCCCTGTGCTGGACACAAGTGGTTCTATCTAGTTCCAGCTGACCTACCGCAAGACACAGATGAGCTGGAAGTGCCTCTGAAAATATATTTAAGAAATGACAAAAGTGCCAGAAAGAGAAAGAGAGGGGAAAACAAAACAAGAGTGAGAAACAGTAGAGGGAACATCAAAGTCAGAGGAGGAGGCGCTCTTTGGCAAAGCAGGCACCACCTGAAGGGACTGCAGCCCATGGAGGACCCACACTGAAAGAGTGGAAAGGAGTGAGAAGGAAGGAGTGACAGAGACAAACCTCTGCAACCCGACTGCAACTCACCCTGCACTGCCAGTTGCCTCATGGAAGGGACTGAATGTAACTTGTGGCAATAAACTGGCAATAAATTAAGCTCATCTTCCCCAGCTCAAGTCTGCATTGTCCATGACAATAACTGATAAATTATCTTTTTGTCCTTATTTGGACCCAGGAGCTTTCTTGCTCCTGTTCTTCCCATTTTTTCCCCTGTTCTGCTATGGAAGGGAATGACCAAGTGGCTGGCTGGGTGTTTGTCTGCCAGCCGGAGCCAAACCACTACAGGAACCTCCACAAATTTCAATTTGTAGAAATGTTGTTGGATAAATATGAGAAATGCCACGGAAGTACAAAGTGTACACTACATTTTCAGTCACTTTTTCTACAGATCACAGGCTGGACATCCTATGCAAGTCCATCACTGCAGTGCAAGCACAGTTCTGAGAAGGTATATGGACAGTTCACATGACGGCAGAACTCACTATGAGACCAAACTATTCTGTCAACTATACATGCCTTTGCCAGTGCAGCAGGAAATTTACACTTGTGTGTTTTATTAACTGTTGAGATTTTAGATTTTTCTGAATATGGACTTGTGTTTCCCCATTTGATGCCACTGGCTACATTTTACATGCTGCCATTACATAAAAATTATTACTAACAATACCACACTAACTTTGCTTTCCTTCCTATGTTGTACTATATGCAAATGCTAACTTTACTCATAATGGTACTTTAAACAATCAAGTTACTTAGGCTTTTAGAAAAAGGTTTTCTGTCTTTACAAGACATAAACCACATCACATTATAATCCTCACGTTTTGGTTTCAGAATATAACAGTATCCACATTCAGCAAAGTTCAGTGTAAAAAGCATGTATACTAAAGTGATACTGAGAACTTAAAAGCAGGTTATCTTCTTCTACTAATTAATGGACAAAGAAAACCAAAATTAAACACCTCTAATCTATTACCTATAATTGGAGACACATAATGAAATATAACCTAGCCCATGTTTCTGCTGTACGTTTCAAAGCACGGTTTTAGGGCTCTGCGAGCATTCGGTGGTCTAGCAGGCAGCTCAGTTAACTTCTGAGGCCAGTGTCGTCTCTAATAAGGGAAAACAGTCCCTCTCATTAAACAGTAGAAATCTAGACAAAATAAGAATATAAAGTTGACCCATCACCCAAGGGGGATACTCAGCTTGTCTGAAAAGGTGTGCACAGCTCAGCTTTGCATCCTGAGGGAACTGTACAGTGCCGGGAGGTAGAAGCACACTGCTTGGCAGAGCAATGTTCTAGTGTGCCGTGCAGCAGCTGCCAGGCGATGTGAGCGAGTCACTGAGCATAGAGCATCACTTGCCCACGCTCGCATCAGGCTGCCTGACCCAACTGGAGCCTGCTCCTGAAAGCCAGCTGAGAAGTGATGTGCCCTGCATTTCTCAACGCTGCACCTGACTGCGCTACCTGCTGCACGCTGTGTGAGTATGAGGCAGTATGTTTTATTGCAAATATCAAAAAATTAATATACTAACTATATTCTACTTGTATAAATACACACTGCAGCATACATATCTAACAATATAAAAAGAAGCTAGTCAAACCTATGCCTCAGTTTTGAGACATCAATACATAAAAATGTTTTATGACAATGAGACAGAATGAGAAAGATACTTAGGATTTACAAATCACTTTTATATACAGACTTGCTTACGTAGACTTTTCATAGGAGAGTTAGGAAAAGTAACAACTTGACTGCGTTTGTAGAGTGACACAGTGCCTTAGCTGGGACAAAACCTCAAGTCTCCTAAACTCCCAGGCTAGTTCCTTTTCTTCAGATCTCAAAAATAACTCAAGAGTCATTTGAGTATTTTGCAGGATTACTAACAGGCTGTCATATAAAGAAACTACTATTACAAAGATTTCATTCTTTATTGACACTTCCTAATTGTTTTTTGATATAGGAAATTAAATACTATTTGTTTTTCAGTCCTCCTTGCAGTAGGTAATAATGACTAGGCAAGAAAAAAATACATATGTATATGTATCACAGAATTTCAGCTTGATTACTTAGTGAAGAGGGAGAATATATTTTACACCCTTTCACAGGTTTAGACTAGTGATCTCTAAAACAAGTGGGTTGTAGGTTTCAGAAAGTTGTTACAAAGTGCTGTTCCTACCTGCCTTCGAGAAGCAATAGTGCTATTGAAACTCCTGTTAGTCATCTTGGAATTCACAGGCTTGCTTTGGTGAGCCACATCATTCCTCCATGTCTTAGAGTTTTCTTTTGGGTCCGAAGGGATGGGGTTCAGGAACAGTATTCTAGCAATCAGGCCATAGAGGACAGTCGCCAATACCATTGGTACAACATAAAATATACCAAAGTCCATCATATAGATAGGAGAGTAATAGCTCCTGGACACCTTGTAGCCACAGGACACAACAGTAGTGTCTTTGTAGACCACTGTATTAAGGTCTAGCAGAAAAAACCAGAGCATACAGTATATGGAGGTGAAAGCCCAGACAAAAATAATTATCTTTTTGGCTCTTGAAAAAGTACATAGGAATTGAGCTTTGATTGGGTGGCAGATGGCTATATATCTCTCAATGGTAAAGGCAGTGATGGAAAAGGAAGAGGCATTGATCCCTAGGTACTGGAGGTAAGTGATGCAGAGACACCCCACGTATCCATACACCCAGGATCTATACAGGCTTTCCGTGATGTTGGGTAGTCCTGCAGCCACAAGCACCATGAGATCTGCCACAGCCAGACTCACCAGATAGCAGTTTGTGGGAGTTCTCATGTGCTTGGTTCTGAGGACCACCAAAACCACCATGATGTTGCCCACGATGCCCAGTCCACAGATGAGGAGGACCAAGAGGATGGTAACCACTTGGTATCCAGCTGTAATGATCTCCTGGCTTGACAGAGGTAGCCCAGTTTGGTTCTGCTCATTCCCTGTGTCATTCTCCATCTTCATCAGCCCACTGCCGCTTCTGCCCCACACTCGGTCTCAGCACGTGTTCTGCACGGTGCCGTGCCAAAGGGTGAGTGGAGCGGAGTGTGGGAGAGCCGTAGCCCCAGAGGACATTCTCCATGTAGTCACAGTCCCATTCCTGTCCCGTCCTCCACTCCCCCGACAGCACCTGGACTTTCAATCTTTGTAAATTCAATTACCAGACAGGTTAATCCCTCCAAGACTCCAGCTCATTCGCACAGGCTAAAAAGCTATCTTCTCTGGTTTGAGGCACTGATGAAAACACAGCGTTTTCACGGGAGATGGGAGCTCCCCGCTGCCAGGGAGGCGGCGACAGGGAGGCAGCGCGCTGCCCGGGCTGGGCTGATGCACCCCCGGCGGGTTCAGCATCACCGCTCCCCAGGAGGAGCCACAGCGTACCGAGGGTGGAGACAACGGCCGGAGATGAAAGGAGGGGGGAGTTGTAAAGCCCCGCAGGTTTGCTGCTTCGCGCTGCTTTCGCTCTCTGCTCTCGGACGGCTGTCTCACCTATCGATCATATTGATCCGCCCGGGCAAACAAAGGGGAGACTGACTGTTAACGAAAATAACACCAGTCTCTAAAATTCTTACTTCCCCCGAGTCCTTGTCCTTGTGAAAGTGATGGTAATTTACACTTGACTCCTGCTTTGCAGGGAGCTGAAAGAGTCCTGAAAGAACAAAACGTATCCCCGTTTTTGAAAACAGCAGGAAAAATTGGGTTTCTTTACGCTATAGACAATTATTTTAAAACCCTCTATTGCTACTGCTGTCATCACCCCTGAGCTCTTTCAGCTCCTTTCTGGATTGTAGCACAGCAACAATAAAACCATCAGAGCACAAACAGCTTCTTAATGAGATCAGTCACACACATGTGCACACACACACTCACAGTGTTACTAATCCACCTCCATTTCCTCAATGAAGAGTCTCCTCTGGTTGAATAAACTCCTCCTTGTTCAGTCAGGTTGTGTAAAACCACAGGCATATCAAAGACAGGTGGAAACAACTGCTTTGAGACATGTTGATGAAAGCCCTACAGATGCTGTGGCAGTATTCACGAGCTCAGCTGCACCTAGATTGATGCAGAGCTTTCCTGGCTCACTTGCTGGCAACCTTAATGCCTCAGTGAGAGAGACAATAGCAAACCCTTCTGCAGAGTCTGTGAATGAGCCCTTGTCAACTCCCCACCACAGTCCTTCAGTCCATTGTTTCTCCTTATACTATTGGTTTAGAAGGTTGAAGATTAAATCTGCCTTAAAATCCCATTTTTTTCTCCTTTCAGGGCAATTATTTTTGCTCTTTGCTCAGGAAGGGTTCAAAAAAATAAAATGTTGCACAATTGGGGAAAGGCAACTTGGATTTCAAAACAGGTTTTAGTGTTAAGAGAGAAGGATTAGCACAGGCACATAGTGTATTGTTTCCAAAACTAGGATTTGAAATAGACTAAAACAACAGGTGGTGACAAAGAGAGAATGCCTGAATGAGAGCTGGAAATTAGACTCAAACAGTTTCAGAGGTTTGAAGCCACTCAGTTAAGTTTTCCAGTCATTTTTTCCATTTGCTTGTTCACACTTCAGCTGTGATCATATGCTTTTCTTCTGTACATCCCAAAGTACTTAACAAAGTAAAGCAAATATCATTACTCCTATTTAATGAAGAATCAGGGGCGAAAAGAATCAGATTTGTTGTCAGTGGCCCAGCATAGTCTGTGGGAAAATTCAAGTTACTAGTTACTTGGTCAATGGTATATCAACAGAATTATATCATTGAGATTCTGCTCCATACAATCTTCAGATCCTGTTACTCTGGACACAGCTGAAAAAACAAGGTCATCACTAGTGTAATGCCTGCGTGTTAGAAAAAGGATTCCTTCCAGCCCCCTTCACACTCCACAACATTTTATCCTTCAAACTGGACAGATTGCCCCTTAGCAATCTATGCTTTTAAAGCTATGTGGCTATAACAGGTGTAGCCCCAGACACTCAGCCCCATTGCATGAAACACACCGTGAGGGAGCCCAGGCATGACCTGTCACAGATTTAGTGTCACTAATCAGGGACCCAGCAGGGGCATTGAACCAGAGTTCCTTGACAGCCTGGATAAACCCCTAACCCTCATTGATTTCAACTGAATTGGAAGGTTCTGGCACCTCCATAGACTGATTTTTCTTTCAGGGGTGACTGATGCCTCTCTGCCACACCATCCCACCATGAGGTCTTGTTCCTCATGTTTCCACTTATTCTGCTATTGTTTATGTAGGCAATGTGAATGGTCTGAGTTGGGGCTGAGGAACTAGTGCATCTGAGAATGTGTAAGTGCTTGCAGTGCCAGAAGTAATGGCTGAGGACACAGGATGCAGAGAATTTTGAGAATATTTAAAAACCCACATGACTTTGAAGTGAACATGGGATGTCTGGAGGATTTGCAAGAAATGTATTATCTATCTGATGCTTGCTTCACTCCTCTGCATCTGCTACTGGTCTGTATAGAGATGGAATAGGCCATCTTGTCTCAGCCACTAGTTCACTTTTTTACGGCTTTTTGCCAAGTGTTGCATTCTGGAAAAGAAAAAATAAGTATAGTTGTCACTATATGGCTATAGGGAAGTATATCTATGGAGATTTTCAGAGGATTTTGATAGTATTGATTAACATCCTCTACGGAGCATTTCCATTTTCTTTCTACACAGTATTTCCCCAATCTACAATTTTTGTACAAAATTTGCAGTAATTGCAGAAGAAATTTCAAGATTATAAATATATGTTCCATGTAATTAAAGCATCTGGCAAAATGGATTTGACTCAAATATTGTATGATGTGCATTGCCTGATACATTCGGCATCCATTTAACATGATCATCGGTCAGAGATCAGATACTGAATTTGAGAATCAGTAAAAGACCAGCTTTTCTCCCAGTTAATGCTGTGATAATGAAACTGTCAAAATACACTGTCTGGTTTCAAAAGCAGTTCAGCATTAATACATGCAAGTCCAGCAGCTCTGCCAGAGAAATTTTGAGAGCAGATGGACCAGAGATCACAGTGAAACTTTTACTGCATATCTATTACTCCATTATATACACATACCTGTTGGTCCAGGCATCAACTGACATTACATGTACAAATGAGAACAGATGCAGTTAGCAAGTCAACAACAATAGGTAGAAAAACAGGTCCCTGAAATGTGCTGACTTTTGCTAATACATTTCTGTTGGTACAACCCTTCGGGTAGGAGGGAGAGGGGAAGGCATCATGGTGATACACTCTGTGCTGTATACTGTTTAGCCAACAATATTCTTGTCCAATTTTTTTTCCCATTTGTCTCAATTAAAATGCATCTCTGCTCAACTGAGGCACAACAAACCCATAACAAAATGTCTCATAACATTAAGCACATGCTGAGCGGGAACAACGAATCACTGTAAACACTTTACCCCACTAGCTATAAATTATTCTTAATTCTGTTTCTCTGACTCAGATCACTTCTCCAGCTGGCCTTTTCTGTTCTGAAAACGGTTCTGCAAAAATGGCAATTTCATACTCTATTACTTGTCTGTACTTAGGGTTCAGAAAAAATCATAACTAACTTGGATTCTTTACTCTGTGTCCACCTCCGAGGGAGTGCCAAGCACTTAGTGCTGTACAAATATCTCAAAGGCTGCAGTCTGTAGAGAACAAAAGTCGCCATCAGTGATGTAACTTCAGTACCATCCAAAGGCTGGCTTTTAAAGTTCGTAATTAGCTACCGGCATGATCAGCTCCAAATGTGTTTTGGATTTACACTTGACATGGTTAAATATTGTAGTAACTGTGGTCAACTAGAATTTATTCTCCTACATCTGCTGTACCACATAGCTGTGTTTTTGTGCTTTTGAGCCTGTGGCAAAGTGTTTGGTTTGTGGAACAAATCTGCACCTGGAAAAGCCTTTTATGAGTAAAGATTGTGAGGGGACCACGCACTTTTTCTGTCAGATAAATCTCATTACCCAAGGCGATGATCCATCTTTCTGACTAATTTTTTGCTGCCTGTCACTGGAGAACACCTCCACTGAAGTACTGTTAAAATCCTGGGTGGGTATTCCAGAAGTGCCTAAGTGATTTAGGACTTACGATGATTCGGGGATTCCTAAATGTATCTGACAAATTCTATCTGATTTAGGGGCTTTTAATCTGCATGTGAGTGCAAATCCTGTTTCAAAGGTGAGGGGTTTTGTATCATTATTTTCATTTAATCTGCATGTTGAACTGATGTTGGCTCAAGGCAAGTAATAAGAAATTTTTAACTTAATTGTTCTGAAAAAGCAATTGTCACAAAAGGAAGAAAAATGGATTTAAACAGTCAGTTGGCTCACATAGGAAATTTGGTTTATCTCTTGCTGATCAGCAAGGGTCACTGGAAATTGGCTAGTTGAAACAGATCTGAGATCACATGGCAAAGGAGACTGGAAGGACTTTAAAAGGTCTACTTTTTGCTTTACTAATTTCTTTCAACTCAGGTGGAGATAAGCTGTACAAGAGCCTGATGAAGCAGAAGGAATTTTGCCAGAGTAAGTATAGAAATATCACACAAAAAAATGGGTGAGGAAGATTGCTTTCATGAAATGTTTTGATTTGCTGAATTATCTGCACTCTTTTGGACTTTACCTCTTAAGAGACTATCAGCTAAGTCAAAATGAGGGGGTGCTCATCTGATAGCTCATCTGATCCCAAACTGTACATCCATCAGTACAAAGAATTAATGAGAAGATGGTGTGAAATCAAACTTTCATCTGAAGTGTATCAGCAGGAGCATATGCAACATGATATATGAACTCATCGCACACTGGACTGTGTCCAGGTTTGTGAGACACCTTCTGAAATATGGAAACAACTCAGAGAAGAGCTAGAGGCAAGATCTATGACATCAAAACCCTTGAGAAAATAATGAACAAGTGTAGGTCATCTGCCCTTCAGGAGATAAGACTGACACTGCAGAATAAAAAAAGAATAATCTGTTTTCCACATTCATGATGGAAATAGTAATCTGAAACAGCATCAGGGAAGATTCAGGATGGAAAAACCTTTTACCAGTAAAGACTGAATAATTTACCATTAAAGAGGCTTTGGAATAGACTGTGTTGAAAAGCTAGAGACTTCAGCATTAGGGATGAGTAAAAAGTCACCTGTCGTAGATGTGGTTGATTCTGCCTGGGAGCAGCAGGGTGGACTGGGTGCCCTCTGATTCTGTGACTGTAATCCCTGGGTATGTCTGTGTACGCTTGCCTTG